TCATGTTTATTCATTACGATTCATTATTCATCACCATCGTTTGTTTGTGTTTTGTAAGACAGGCCTAGTTCTTGTGGGAAATAATGAAGAAGAGCAAAAAAAAAACAAAAAAACAATGATGCTGAAATGCTTGATGAAGCTGAAATCGTCATAGCGGGTTTGAAGGCTCGCCGAGATGTTCAGATGAGAAGCGGTGAGTCATAGCACCTCGAGCCATTGACTCACCTGCTCATTAATGATCCTGCTCTCAAAGTTTAGTCTCTGGTTGCTGTTTCCAGAACAGGTTCACACAGGAAGCTCCCAGAGCTGCGCAACAACAGCAACGCTTCCTGCCAGACGCCGATTAGGAGTCCTCTGACCGGGTGGATCAGTGGGTAACCAGCTTAGTGATTCCACTCTGTGAGTAATGGGAGTGTTGGGCGCTGATGGCACCGTGGCAACATGGGCGCAACACACACACACACACACACACACACACACACACACACACAGATGAAATGTCCGTCCTCCTCCGTCTCGCCGCTTCGCTCCCGTCTCCCTCCATCTCGCTCTCCCAGCATGCTTTGCCCCGTGTGCCCTTACACTAATAAGCTCTTATCACTATTATGGATAACACCATATTCCACTGTGGGCTCCTTAGCCGAGGTACCTGGCAGATTTGCTTGAAAGAACTCATTCAAGTGATAAGCACAACAGGGGGAGAAAAAAAATAATCTGCTCCTTCAACCTCGGCCAAGATTCTGCAGCAGTTTAGCAAATGTAAAAAAAAAAAGGTTCGATTTTCGTTTAATTAATTTTTATCTTGCTCGATCTAACCTGTTTCATGAAGCCAGTCTGCGACGAAGAATAGCGCGACTCCTTCCTTTTCATCCTGCACCTGTCCTAAATAAAGGAGGCGCTACCTGTGAGCACCGTCGCTGATGTGAGGCTGCAAAATGTTAAATCTAAGGGGCAACAGAACATCAGACGTGTTTCATGAAACGATGAACCAAGGTCACATTTAGTATTTATATCAGAGATTTGTGATTCAGCGAGTTAAAAACCCACTTGCGGTGACTTCAAACATGGTTTTAGTAACTCATCACAGTGAGTTTTCAAACTCAAGTGGGTTGAAAAAGGTGACTCTAATCCCCCCGACACACTTCAGCTACAGACAAAAACCAGAAACCGTTTCAGCAGGAGTTAGCCAAAAAATGCCAAACCTTTCCTGGCCTCAGCTTCTCAAATGCGAAGGTTTTCTCTGTTTAACATCGTTCTAAACTAAATGTCTTTGTTGTCAGTTTAGTCAGTATTAGGTACCTTAAAGCAGGACTTTCAACTTGGGTGATATTTATCCCAACTGCTGTGAGAGCAACTTGCATGATAGTTATCGATGTCAAAAAAAGGCCAATTGTAAAGGTTTCTACAGAAGCCGAGAGCGGTCATGGCCGCACATTTTTTTAAACGCTGCTTTCCCGAGATAACGGGATAATTATCTCGCTATCTCGAGAAAACGGTGTTCGATAACGAGATAATTATCCCGTTGACAGTTTCGGCTGTCACTTCAGCCTTCATCAGAAGTTGTTGGACTTCCTGGTGTGACGTATCTTATGTAGACAGCTGACCGGGAACTCCGACATGACGTGTCATGAGAACAGCTGACCGGGCACGACAACTTACAATGAAGCGCTCGTGCTCGGTCTCGTCTGTCCTCCGGCCCCCCGCTGGTGACTGAGGATGGAATCCATCCTGGACCGGGCACGAGCGGGCAAACACAAACACCAATTATCTCGTTTTCACGAGAAAGAACAGTAGCGGAAAACGACTGCTCTCGGCTTCTGTAGGTTTCTGTCCTTTTAGAGGCTCATTCAATTTAAAGCATGAGTAGAAAAAAATATAAATACTCAACAGTAAAGTAAAACAACAAAAAATACCAATATAAATGAAAATAATTTGGTCTTTGGTTTGGTTTTGTTGTTGTTGGTGCTCAGCCGCCTGCTTCCCCTTTATGCCACATTTTCCTCCCAGACGGCATCATTTCATGATGATGAAGCGCAGATCAAATACAACGTACTGACAGGACGAATCTCAGCAGAGTGATTGAAGCAAATTTGTTGAACTGAATTGCTTTTCTGGAGAGTTAGTCAGCGTGAACGCACCACTACTGCAATAAAAGAAAAAAGAAAAAAAAGTTAAAATTGGTTGAATCACAGCAACTGGCTGTTTTCAGTGTGAGGGTTCCAGGATGTCTGGACTGTCTCTGATCAGGGAATTGGGGTCTTTGAACTGTGTGGATACGCGAGATCGACAGATTATTGGCCTGCTCGATTATTGGGACCGATATTTGTCATTTTTCAGATTTTCGGTATTGTCATTTAAGGTATTACTGATGTAGTTGACTCTCTCTTTAGTCACAGTTTCCCGCCCACAGCCTTCTCTGATTGGTTAATATGCTGAGTAACAGCCAATCAACAATCAAAGCTACTGTTTACAGACCAGGACAGACGAGCACATTTGAAGACCGAACCTGTGTTCTGAAAGTAAGATAAGAGCAGATCAGACAGGAGGCTAAGGGTTGGTCAGGTATCATAGGTATCAAAATATTTTTCTAAGATTAAGTCCGATTAACTTCAGTAATCTGCTCTGCTCTCTCCGTAGCAGAGACACAACCTGCAAAAGCTGAACAAATCAAGAAATCAGCTGCTTTCACAGTGGCTAAGGCTAAGCTAAAAGTTAGCGGCTAAATTAGGAGGCAGATTACCTCAAAACACTGTCTGGAAAATAATAACTAATAATGCTTTAAGATTCAGGTCTTGGTGGGAAATAAAGTGACAGAGCAGAGGAACAACAGATGTACAGGTGACAAGCAGCTAGTTCTCAATAAATCAGGCTCACAGTAAACAGAGGAGAGAATCGTAGGGTCACATGATGCTCTGACTTCATCACTCCTATTTCTGTTACTTGTACTCAGCTATAACAACCATTAATAATAAAGTAACATAGATATGAATGACAGTTTCCCCCTGTTTACCACATTTACTGTAGTTCCAAATATCAGTAATTCATCTTTCTTGCTCAGTATTGGCCCTAAAGAACATCAGTCGCTTTCTAGTGGACACCATGTTTTCCCCTCAGAACGGGGGATGATTGTGTGACCCTCGTGTTCTGCTGGTCACTCGTCTCTGATTTCTTTTGGAAACCCACTGAAGCGAAGGCCATCACGAAGTAGCCAGGCAATAAAAAACATACTGTGCTTTCCTCTAAATGGAACTATTAGCAGAGCGCCACACCTCACGCTGTGTGTTACTGATGTCACATTTTTCACTTAGTACGCACATTTTTGAGATCCACCACCCTCCACCAGTGGCGACAGAGCTGCCATACAAGGTGCTGCCTACCATTGTGAGCAACTTCTAGGTTCAGCGTCTTGCCCAAGGACACTCTGATTGGCGGGGGATCGAACCACCAACCTTGGGAATAGTGGACAACCCGCTCTACCACCTGAGCCACAGCCTGAATGCTGCAATAATTGTTAGTGAGAAAACTTTGAACTGTTTGTTAACTGCTTTGGAAGACGGCATCTTTGAAATGAATACAGTTTAATACCTTAATGTGTCTCATTTCCTACAGCCACCATGTTGACTATTCAGGCCTTAAACTATGGAGCACACACATCCACACACACACACCTACACACACATCGACAGCCGACTCTCGGCTCACTCGTGTGTCACCAGCTGCTCTCTCAGTGATACAAGTCAGCGTCGCTCCAAACAGCGCTTTGGCTCTACATTTGTAAACCATCGAATTCTCTTTCTCGCTGTTGACAGAAACATCGCTTTTGTTGAAACACCAAACAGGGATTTGAAGCGTGTCAAATATTGACAAAGACAGAGAAAGAAGAGACGGAGGGAAGCGTTCATGTGACACGAGGCGGCGGATTACAGAGAGGAGGACCACCTGCGTGCCAGCGACTGTTTCTGCCTTTATCTGGATGCTGATACGCCCGTTAAAAGACACTTCGGCATACAGAAGCACCGCAGCTTTATCTCACAAGTGAGGCAGCCTGCAGCAGCTCTGCGGCTGATGGGTAGTAATTGTAATGACTCACAGCTGAACCTGTCAGAGTTGTTTAGCGGAGGAGACGTTTAACAGAAGGGATGCACTTTCAGCAGACTGAGGAAACTTATTTCGTTTTAGGTCTGCGACGGCCTTCAGTGAATCAAGACGGAAAGTTTCTCCTCGGCGCTGATTTGATTTGTGATGTTTTCAGACTTTGCATAATGTTATTTGGGTTTGATAGCAGCCAGTAAAGGTAAACATATAATTCACTATAATTAAACTCAGCGTGCTGCGTATGATTTTAGGCTCCTCAGATTCTAAAGCACCACATGAAGTCGACTAGCAGCCATCTGAGTGGGTTTGGATGAGAAAACAAAGACAAACAGATCTCGCATGAGCTTCATATACTCTCCAACACACCATTCCTCTGAAGGATGCCCAGTGGATGGATTTACAGTTTGGTCCACATTAACAGAACTTTGTACACCGAACTGGATGAATGCATCAATCATTAAGCTGCTCTGTACTCATTTTTTTTCTATTTATTAGACTTGGTTAATGTTTTGTTCGACCACCAGTCTTGTATTTAGACCATCCAGCATAATAAAGAGCTGTAATTCACATTCAGCGTTCGACTTTTTACCATTTTGAACAGAAATGAGGAATTTCAAACTGAACTCACCTTTTTATACCCAAATCTGAGCCACTGGGCTTCTCTGACAAGTCAGGAATGTATCAAGCAGAACATTCAACCACTAAAACTCATTTTTCTGTTCAGAAATGCAAGTAAACAACAATAATTTCACATCTTAAACAAGAAATGATCATGTGCTTTACTGTTTTTTCAGTTTTTTGTAAAACAGTACATTTAAAAATTCCTGGATAACATTAATAATTATATTTTTTACCATTAAAAATATCATTTTGGTTAAAGAACTTCTACATATTGGCATATTAACCATCAACAGAAACATAATAAATGAGTTTGGTAGTCACCAAGGCTGTTAATTTAGGGCAGCTGTGGCATAAACCTCACACTGGGTGGTGGTCTAATACATTTCTTAAGCACTACATATGCATAAAACAATTTTAGATCTTTGAAAATGAACAGATGATGAAGTTATTTGTACTTTTGTAAAGTTGCATTCACTTCAGTCTCAGTTTTAAATGTGTTTTGGGAGAAACCTTGTACGGAACATGCTGTAACAAACCTGCAAATTGTTGTTGAATACTACAGTAAACTGATAATAATCTTTAAAATATCTCATTAAATTCAACTTGTTTAAATCTGCAGAAACCCCCAAACACACAATTACTGTGAATAACATGATTAAAAGCACAACACAACACGTACAACACATCCAGTCGGTGCTGCTGCAGTGCTAGTTTGCCACTAAACCATCCATCCATCCATTATCTATACACCGCTTAATCCTCACTAGGGTCATGGGGGGCTGGAGTCTATCCCAGCTGACTCAGGGTGAAGGCAGGTTCACCTGGACAGGTAACCAGTCTATCACAGGGCTACACTTAGAGACAGACAACCAAGCACACTCACATTCACACCTACGGACAATTTAGAATCACCAATTAACCTCAACATGTTTCTGGAGGAAGCTGGAGAACCCGGAGAGAACCCACGCTGCACGAGGAGAACATGGAGACTCCACGCAGAAAGATGCTGGGTGTCCTCACCGGGATGCGAATCGGCGACCTTCTAGCTGCGAGGCAACAGTGCTAACCACCGAGCCACCTTGCAGCCCTGCCACTTAACCATAAATCTACACCTTGTGTATATAAATGCATCTTTATATTTCCTTATAATGTATTGGGTTTACAAATTTCAGACTTTGGCGACTCCCTGCGGTGGCGCCGGAAAAGACAGCAGAGCATCCTGTGGTACTGATGGATCTGCCCTCAAGACACTGAGATGGATAAAATGAAAACAACACACAGAATGCACCAATTTTCAAACGCAAGCAGATAAAACCTCCGTTAAACAAATAAAGGCTTCATCAGTGCACATGCTCCAGGTTGGGGACTCACTTCTGACAGTCTGTCCTATCATTCAGCAGTGTCTAGTTGGATCTGTTTTACAGTCTAAAATAATAGTGTAAGTTATAATTCATAACATGCTTTACAGGGAAATTAATGACACCCACATACCAAAACCAAAGTTCAGTTTTGTTGAGTGCCAAACAAGGTGAACCTGGAAACACAGTTCGTGCAAGAAACAATAATCTTTCCATTAGATTTAAAAGGCGTACTCACTGGCAGTGGAACGCTCTGCTGCTATTGCAAATCAACCAAGAGAGAAGCGCCATGAATTCCTGATCTTTGGTCCCGAAGCAGCTTCGAGCATGTGTGTTTCTATATTCATGTGCTATTCATGAGTTCTTTGTCGGGACCAGAACACCGGACCTCACAAAGTTTAGTATTTAAATAAGAGGTTGGAGTCGGGTTAAGGGGAAGGTTAGGGGCTGGAGGAGGCACAGTGTCAACGAGAGTCCTTATAAAAATAGTGAGACAAGGATGTGTGTGTTTGTGTGTGTTTGTGTGTGTGTGTGTGTGTGTGCGTGCATGTGTGTGTGTAAGTATGTAAACTTTTCAAAGTACTGTCCCTGTAGAGTCACTGAAGACTTTTGACTTGAGTCATTGATTCTAATTATAATTTCATCTGGGGGCTGTAGATTTAGAGGGAAGAAACCACACAGACACAGACACACACACACACACTATACACACACACACACACACACTATACACACACACACACACACACGCACGCACACTCGCGCACACACAGCTGATTTGTAGTCCGTTGGCTCCGCTGCTTTGATGCCGGGCATCTGTTGTGAGAATTTGGTTAATTCCACTTTCATCATCAAACAGAAACTCACACACAAAAGTGAATAAATAAGCGCACATTCACTTACAAGTTGGAGTCATCAGAGTCTGGGTCTGAGGATGAAAACATTATTTTACATGCTACATGCAGAGCCGGTGCCACCGCGGTTTAACGTGAGTTATATGTTGAGCGCTCGTAGCGTCGAGCTGCTTTCGGCGCTTGGACGAATCCACAGAGTCACTCTTTGTAACTCTCACTTTTATTTCTCATGGTAGAATATTCAAACCAGCAAAAAATAAAAGGTTCAAGTCTCAGCTATGAATACATACATTAATATCATATTATTTATTTATCTTAACGTACACAAAGATTCTATTTACAACAATATATACACTTTTAATTGTGTGCGTGACGGCTAAAGTTAGCAACTTGTGGTGATCAAATGAGCAAATATGAAATCTGGCTAGCCTTTATTAGCAGATATAATGTAGTGTGATAACTAGAAAGTCCAATTTTCACAAAAGGCAATTACCACAGTATGCCCATAATCACAACCTGGATTATATTTTTACTTTTTAAGTTTGTGTGGACTTTGAGCCAATAAGAAGTGAGTCAAAGTGAATTCTGCTCTGAATGAGATTTTATTTGAGGTTTTCATAAAATGAAATGATCTGATATTGGTGCATTTTTAAAACAAATCCCTGGGTCATCGCCAGCTAGAGTTAGTCTGACTAATTCACACAGAAGGATTTATAGGTGAATGTATAAAATGTACACGACATCTCTAACTTTTGTAGTTGCCACAAGAAAAAAAACAAGCTCAGCTCAGCAGGAAGTGGGGAGTGATGAAAATCCTTTATCTCTGGACAGAATGTAGATAAAGAGCCAACAGGTGGATGCTGGGTGGAGGTGGGGC